TGGTGTCTTGAAATGGCACAGGTGCAATGGCTGCGGGAGGGGGGAGCCGGGCATAATTACAGGTTTCTGAAGCATCAGGCTTTGCCTGAAAAGGGCTCATCGAGAAACTGCTCTTTATGGAAAATTAATGGTGAAGCTGGAAAAAACTGTCAAGCCCACTATTGTTGTCATGGGGTAGTGATGCCTTAAAGGAGCAGCACCTCCCGCTTGCCTCCCCTCCATGGGCAGCCTGGAGCTGGCGTGCGGCTTTCTGATCCCGCAGCAATTGAAATTTCATGTCACTGTCATCAAATTTAATGGCCTTGAGTCCCTGTCTCCTTCCCCCTGCCCCCACCCCCCCGCTTCCCTAATTTGTGATTACTTTTGCTCTTTCTCTTGGAAACCTCTTACTTATTCGGCCCGTAAACATGTTTCTGCCCCACTGGGTGAAGGCTAAGTGGGCCAGAAAGCCCAAATTACATGATGTGAGGAATTCAAAAGCATCGCCTCTTTTGGTGAGGGAGGTTATTTCTGAAAGACTGTGGAGCAAATTTGGAAAGCAGCCCCCAAAACCTGTTAGGATTCATCTGGGGAGAGACTAGATCCCCAGCTAAAGCCATTCGCCATGGTCCCAGAAATTCATTTTAAAAAGAAAACAGAAGGGTTGCTTAAGGCACGAGTCCTAACTGGTAAGTGTCCCACCTCCAGGCCTGTGTGCAGACACATGGTATATACAGTGTCATGCCTCTGAAAATAACCTACACCCTTAAGTACTGCATGTGTCTGTTGCCATTTTATTGCTTTTTGTCCAAGTCCATCTCTACAGCTCAGGTCTGGAATCAGCTATTATTTTAAAAAGAAACAACAGATAACTGTCTGACAAATTCAGTTCTGAACTCTGAAAGTCATCCCAGCAAATTGTATCTGCAACCAGCAGCGCTGCTTCCTGGGTACATTGAAGGTAGTAATCTTGAGTTACCTGATAGCTCGTAGAGTGCTGTGAGCGGGGCCTCTTTACACTCTTGTTGATGGGACCTTTGTACCCAGAAGGCAGGAGGCTCAGCCTCTTCTCTGGTCATGTGAATCTTTTGTCTCTTGATCACTGGACTCTCCAAATTGAGATGTAGTTGGGTTGCCAGCTCCCATAGGCTGAAAATTTTTGCCTAAAATACCTTCCTTGATATCTCTAGAATTCTTCTCTGAAGAGTAGTTTTTAGAGGTTTCTAAAAAGTGTTAGTTAGAATGTCTGTTCCTCCAAGTCCTGCAAAATTGTGTCGGTGGTATTAAACCAGCTAGCCTTTCAGGCAGTGAGAAATGAAAAATGGCACTAATAAACTCCATTAAAAGCTCCTGAAACTACAGCAAATGGTTTTCTATAAACAATAAAAGTTTATAATGTTGGTTATGGAGAACACTGGGCAGCAGGACAGTGCCTGGAAGCTTTATTTGTGCTACTTCAGGGCACCTCACATAAGGGGCATTCAAGTTGGAGACTCACCCTGTCCTCGTGCTGATATCACTGCTGTGGAGACGCAGTAACGCGTTTTTATGTGGCAGCCTCTTTGACTGCATCTTCATCTACTTTTTAATAAGGTGCATGTGCATGTTTGTATGCAAGTCTGGTGTCCTGTACACAGGAAGCCCCATTTAACCTGATGTGCTCAAGCTCCTCTAAAACTGACAGTTGGTCCCTTTTTTCTGTCACATCTTTCCTTCTCTCAGGTCCTTTAAACAAGCTGCGATGTCACTGGAAGTTTTTCCTTGTCTCCTGTCTTAAAACGCTACGCTTCAGAATTGTGCTGCTTTAGGAATGGATTGTGTCCCAGCCAACTCTGCTGAGTTAAATTTGGAGTGAAAGTTAATGTTTGTGAAGGAAAAGGAAGCAGTTCTTTGGAGAGGTGACTTTTTGTTTGTACGTGACTAGGTGATGAGGCCATTAGGATAGTTTCATATGGAGGTGACTGTTGGCCAGATTACACTTAAAATTGAGAAGGGCCTGGTATCCATGGGACAATGTACAGACTTTCATGAAAACGTAGCAGATGCTTTCTGGTTGTCATATCTTCACTTCTACCATAATATCCACTACCCTATGTGGATACTCCCACACTCTGTCTCAGAGCAGCATCAAACAAGTGCCAAATCCTCATGTCTCCCAAAATGTGACTGTCTTGTGAGAAGGTGCTGGTGTACATGAATGCTATCTCTGAACGGCACCGGACCATGTTGTTCTCCTGCCCTAGGTGGGAGCTAGACTGTAATTTCTCTCTAACAGCGGTTTCTCTCCCTTCCCTTCCTGCAGACATGCCTGGAGTTGGAGCGATACCTTCAGACTGAGCCGCGGAAGATCTCTGAGACCTTTGGTGAGGATTTGGACTGCTTCCTTCATGCCTCCTCATCCTCAGATGCAGAGGACAATATCCGACGGCTGGACCCCATCCTTTTACCTGTGGAGACGAGTACCTGTGACAAAAGCGCCAACATGGACATTATCCTCTCACGGGACAAGCTGCTGTCTGAGACATGCCTCAGCTTGCAGTCCACCAGCTCTTCCACAGAAGGCTACACAGCCGTCAACCAGGCGCAACTCAATGCAGTAACCTCATTAACGCCCCCTTCCTCTCCAGAGCTCAGCCGCCACCTCGTAAAAACCTCACAGACTCTCTCAGCAGTGGATGGCACGGTGACGTTGAAATTGGTGGCCAAGAAAACTTCACTCAGCTCTGTGAAAGTGGGTGTAGCAACAGCGACCACAGGGACGATAAAAAGTGGGCAAAGTGACAGTGAACAAGGAGGTACAGGGGCAGAAGCATCCCCGGAAAACAAGAAGAGGGTTCATCGCTGTCAATTTAATGGGTGCCGGAAGGTTTATACAAAGAGCTCCCACTTAAAGGCTCACCAGAGGACTCATACAGGTACTTGTGTAGGATGCTTCTCTCATCTTGTCCTCCCGCCACCTAACCATAACGATCTCCTTTTATTCTCGTTTAGAAAATAGAACAAATATCTTCTGAAAGTCCAAGCTTCTATCTATGAAACAGGGCAGTGGAAACATATGGTAGGCCAGCAAATATACCCATTATTCAATAGAATGGAGGAGTTCACCATCTCTGTTGGGGTTTCATATGTTTTGTGGGGCTTGATGCAGAGTAATTTTAGGATACCGACGGAATGTACATGTATCATTCATGTTAAAGCTGTGGGCATGCCAGTTTGGGTTTTCGACACTCAGTTCCCCAAGACAACTTTAATTTCAGTTAAGTGTTAATTGCTTCAAATAGAAAATAGTGTGGGTAGGTTTTTGTTGCCTTTTGTATGGGGGAAAGAGAAAAATGTATTTCAGATCTGAGATACGCAGTTTAGGAGTAATGCGTGCGTGAGAGAGCATGTGTGTAGATGCAGACATGTAGGTACACAGATGCATGTACCCTTCAGATACAATCTTGGACTTCTCTGGTGATAAAATACAGTGAGAACAAATGAAGGAATGACATGGAGTTTGAATGGAGTAGCGTAGGTAGAAAGGGAATCGGATGTATGGAAAGATATCAGGCTGTTATTTTGGGTAGTATTTACTAATGTTGCATATAAGCTCCACTGTGTAAGCTTCTTGAAGCATACCAAATTGGCTTAGGTTTGGCTGTTCAGAATCCCCACTCTCCTGTCATTTGTTCATAGTCCCCAGTAGCTTTTCGGCTGGTATTCATTGGCATAATAGCTGTGCAGTTCGCTCGCGTTGCTGCTTTGTTCTAAGCTTCACATGTGATGAGAGATGATAAATTCCCATTAGCACTGTCTTATCATGTGATTATTCTTGTTTCCAGAGGGATTGCTGTAATCAGTTTTCTCAATTTTACTGTAAAATGTGTGGTCTCTTACGATAACTGCACATTTAATTCACGATCTTATCATGCAGGCAGATTCCTAGAAGCAAGGTTGTTCTTGCAAGGTAGAAAATAACATGTTGGACCAGTGCAGTAAATCAAACAAATGTGTGAGTTGTTAAGAGAGCTGCATCCATCAAATACTAGGCAGCCCCGTAAAAGTTACATGGTCTGAAGTATAAATCATATTAAGACATAAAAGGCATTGGTTTTGATCTTTTTATATGGGTTTTCTGGAGCTTTTACTGGGGATAGCCACTGTGCCAGGAGTGACCTCACTTGTGATCCAGTGCTTTGAAAGCCAGTGAAAGTAGTGCAGTCATTTTAAAATCTCCAGCAACGTGGTCAGGAGGCTTCTTGTAGCACCAGTGCCGCTCTGAGGTTGGTCCCCACTGGGGCTGTCCAGGGGGACATCCCAGCCAAGGCCTTCCAGTGGGCAGCAGGACTTCTGTGAAGGCACAAATGCAGAGCCTGAGAGCCGTTTACACAGTGGTCTTGTCTGTTCTGATGTGACCCCTGCGTTCCTTCTCGAGCTGGAAGTGGTGGATCTTGCATGGCTCTTCCTGAAGTTAGCCAGGAATATGACACAATCGCCTAGAAAGGGTCAACTTGTGGAATTTTTCTTGTTTTGTTGCCCAGTAGATGGGGATGTGGACAAGAAGTCCTAAAAGAGCATTTGCAAAAACCACTTTCAACTCTTTCAACACCTTCACCCTTCGGAGTCAAAATCTTGACAGATTTTTCATGCTTTTGAACCCAGCCTTAGGTGTGGTTGAATTTTGTATCTGAGGTCAAAACCTTTCCCCTCAGTAGCATCAGTGTGTGAAATCTTACGTTTTACAATTAATCCGTGTCGAGAAGCATTTCTCACTGGCCCTGTGGTACTCCTGTTGAATAGCCCTAGACTGTTCCTAGTGCTATTGATGTGCACGTGTCTGCCCATCCACAGCAGTGCTCAACATGGTAAGAAAGGTAAGTCCACCTTAGCTGAGAGATGGGGAAGACCTGTATCAGATGATGAGACTGCAGCTGCCCGAGTGAAGTGCCCACACCTCCCATTCCGAGCACCTCACCTCATGGGTTCAGCTATCCCTCTGCTCTTGCCAGTTAAGCTGTCAGTGGTTTAACCAACCCCTAAACCATTTACTAGTTTATGGGAGCGTTCCTGTTTCCATCCACCAAGTCCTAAGCAGATACCATAGGTTGTTAGGAAAGCAGAAAGGCAAAAGACAAGAAGGAATACAAACCTGGATGAGGAGCTCTCCTGTCTTTGCAGCTGTATAACCACCTGCACCCAACCACGTCCTAGCTGTGCATGGCTGTGTAGAAAACATGGTTTCATTTTGCGATGAGGACTGGAGGCACCCTTGTTGTTAAAATACGTCTTTGATGCAGAACCTGGGAGCAGCTAGGCACCTGGCTCCCATTTTTCTCCATGGAAAGCAGATTGTCTAAACGCCTTTGAACATTTAAAATCTTGGGAGCAACCTGAGTGAACCAAGGGGAGGCTTATCTAACTAGCTTTTTCGAGTCCAAAGCACAAAGTCATTCACACCCCTTCATTCTGCTTAAGTGCTCTGTTCCCTTAAATATCACTGATTGTTGGATGCCTTAAATCAGAGCTGGTACAATCGAGACATTAAATCTGTTCATGCTGACCTCTGCAGTGGAGTTTCCCCGCAGGGAGCTCCTGCCTCCAGTAAAGGAGAGGGACAGAGAGGAATAGCTATGGAAATTTGGGACTGAATTATAAATGGCAGGGCTACCTCCTTTCCCATGGACGCCTTCAGGGCTAAGGACAAGGAGCCCTTTTCTCCATCAGTGCTTTGTTTTTTTCACACCGTGAACTGAGTGTGCTGTGGGTTGCGAATGCACCCAGCAGTGCCAATGGCTAAAAACCACTGGCTGAGCCAGAGGGTCTGAAATGATTGCAAGATATTTTCCTTTGGCTGGTGGCTTGTTAGTATGTCATGCAGGAACAGTCTGCCAGTGTGGGCTCTGCGTAAAGGGGTGTGAGTGCCCTGGCAGACAAAGAGCTCTCAGTGTGGGGTTCACAGGCAGGGAGGCAGATGTGGGCTGGTCACCCAACTTGCACGTGCAAAGTCCACAGCCAGAGGGTCTGAAATGATTGCAAGATATTTTCCTTTGGCTGGTGGCTTGTTAGTATGTCATGCAGGAACAGTCTGCCAGTGTGGGCTCTGCGTAAAGGGGTGTGAGTGCCCTGGCAGACAAAGAGCTCTCAGTGTGGGGTTCACAGGCAGGGAGGCAGATGTGGGCTGGTCACCCAACTTGCACGTGCAAAGTCCACTTGCTGGATCAAAGGGAGTTACTGCAGTGCCTGAAAACAAGAAAACCCTGGGCTGGGGAGCCAGGGGGTGGAAGGCGGCGGGAGGAGGTTGCATTCCTTTCATTCGTATGTAAGACTGACCAAACAGACACTGGCTGGTGTTCCTTGCTGCTGCCTGATGAGGCAGGCTGGGCTGGAGGCAACACAGACTGATAGCAGCTTGCTAGATTGGAGCCAATCTTCTCTTAGGGCTTTACTTTGCCAGGGAGCCCAGAAAGAATCAGACCTACGTTGCACTTGATGCTGTACAAGCTTGTCTTGTTACTCTCCCGCATCTCATCCATAAGAGAATCAGGACAGCGCTGTAAGGCCCATCCATGGTTGAACTGGTTATGAAACCACCTTCTGGATGACCTTTGAAGAGGGAAAAACAATCATCTGTGTGGGAGAGAATTTAATCTGGAAGGGAAAGGAAAAAACATTATCCGGATGGAAAGGGAAATGAAAATATTTAGCTGAATTCAAAGTAAGCTGGGGCATCTAAAGCAAAGGGTGTGTGAAGGAGCTAAAAGCAGTGGTGGAGTGACGGTCAGAGGGCAGCAAAGAAGCCACTCGGGAGAAATAGTGGCTGGGCCTATAAAGAGGAGGAAAAGATGAGCTGTAGGTTTGGAAAGACCATGCTGCCAATGTGAGGATGAGATAAAAGCATCTAAAGGAACCACCAGGACTGGCACAGTAATCCACCCCTCGCACATTCTCTCTCACTTATTCATGGAGCAAACGTCAGTGCAAACGGTGACATTTTGTCCCTTTTGAGAGACAGAAATTTTCATCCAGGCTTCACACATGCATGGAGATGAATTGCCAATGTAATGGAGAGTGGTGAGGGAAGGAATTAGAATGAGCCAAAAACCATGTATAGTCATCAGTACTTCCTAAATTAGAAAACAGGATATTGCTGGTGAGTGTCTGGATGTGAAGAAGTCTAAGGGTGAGTGGGCCTGTGACCTATGGAAAGATTAGTCATGGGATGTTGCTGTGTCTCCCGGATCAAACACCCCTGGAGGAGATTTCTATCTCCTGACAAAACCATTCATCTCAGCCTTCTGTGCCATAATGTATAGGGGAAGGTATGAGATGGCGTGGGCGCATTCTGGCCAGAGATATATAAACTGGCCAGGAAATCCTTAAGATTAGGATAGTGATAAAAAATGACCCCTGGGGAGTTTCTGCTGGGGTTTGTGTTTTATGAGTTTCAGAAGGTTTCGGGGTTTTCCCTTTATGCATCTAAAACCAGGATCTGATACAAGTTAAGCTCAAGTCTGAGAAACAGCAGTTGGGCACCTTACATCTATAATTAGGTTTCTAAAGCCTAAAACAAGTGGGAAATACCCATGTAAATAGATGTTACAAGGCTACATGTGATCTTAAGATAACACTTATTCGAGTGGAGTTTGTTTCACATTGTCAGGACATCTTATTTTAAATTATATAGTTATTTGACCTAAAGTGCTGGGTGAGAGTAACTAAAACAAACAAATCCACCCTGCAGGAAAACAGATTACTACGTTTGCAAGAAAAAGACGAAAGACACAAGGGTATTAGAAGGAGCATTAATGAACAGGAAGGTTTTGAGACGGGATTTAAAACAGCAGAGAACAAGAGCTTTCCCAAAGGGTTGGAGATAGAAGAGGAAACGTCCAGAATTTGGAAATGATCAGAAAATACAAAATTGAGGAGGGTA